GAGATATCGAGCGGACATCGTTTGCCCGCCCGCCCGCCCGCTCACGTGATAACATAATACGTCCCCGTCTTCGACGGGCGTATAAAAAGAATAAAGACGATATGTGACAGTTTCCATTCAAAACAATTTACGACTACCATTGGTAAATATATTGCCTATGATCTATGATCCTTTACAGTTGTTGAAAATTATTATTTTAAGCCAGAAGTGAAGTTATACGTGAAATGAATGATGTCTACCTAGTATATTTTGGTATTTAATGTTATTTTATATTTTACCTATTATACTTGCCTGATAAAAGTTTTCAAATAACTGCTAAATACACATTGAGTATATCTTCAAGATATCATATTGCAACCCAAGTATCGCGATGCGTATTGTATTGTATCGCTTAATTCATGACAGTATGTGAATAATTCATTTAAAGCTTAAAAGTAAACCAACTTACTGTGAAAAACTTCATTTGTACATACCTTTGCAGGATGCTGGGTCTCCTCTTTATCCCCAGGTTTCCTTGCAGGCGCATTGAGGGCCTGGAGAAGGGCAGCCCCACGCCCCCCTCGCCCGTATCCTCCAGACGCCATGTGATTTATATATTTTTTACATTAGTTCTTAAAGAAAAAGAAAAAAGAAAACTTCATAAAAAAGCATATCATAAATTGCTATATATATCATAGAATATATGATTAAATCTACTACCAGGAAAACTTTTTCATTGTTTTTTCAAGTTACACCCCTTTTAATGTACGATATCAGTGTTTCAGCTAGGATTTGTCAAGGACACAGCACTGACCAGAAAAAGGGCAGTTTTTCGCAAGTAACACATTTTTAAGGCTATTTTGAATTTGTGTTTCAAGTTTTTTGGGCAATTAATGTATTAGTTATTTAGTAAGGTCCTGTGTATATCTAGTGATATTGTTAATAAATATTTTACTGTATGTATTGATCCTCAGGTCCCCTCGCCTATATCCTCTAGATGCCAATTCAGAGATCAATCTAGATTCGATTCACTACCCTTTATGGATAGTTTCTCAATACAGAAGAAAATTCCCCCCATGTGCTTCGAAATTTTCCTATTTTAACAATAGCACTTTTTCTTCAAAATATTTCTCCTAATCCCATAAGATTGATGACTTTTATGCTAGGCATGTTATAAAAGTTCAAACAGAGCACAGCACCCTGCTTTTCCTTGATAGCTGGATCACCTATTAATGGCAGCATAAAACCTAAAAGATGTTGGCATATATGTATACCTTGTTTCAACATCAGTAAAATAATTGCTACATTAATATCGACTTACTAGCTAGCAGTTGACAAAAAAAGGGAAAAAGTTTCTTGCACAATATTTTCAAGCCGACTATTTTTCTTGCACTAAGATGCAATTCACTTAACTCGTGACATTCTTGAGTTGCAAGTTGTTAAATTAATACCCTGTTTAGAGAGCTCTTAAATGGATCCTTTTCCCCAACAGACTTTAAAAGACATTTAACTTTATTAAAGGTAACCTGCATTTTCTCCAGGAATAAAAACTTGGACCCTGATGAGAATGCTTACTCCTCAGACACAACCTGGAACCTCCAAAGCGAATGACAATAATATCCAAATCTGCTCTTATTACCAATAGCTACTATATTCAGTCAGTTGAGTCCTCTGTGTACAATCATTCAAAATGTCCCACCTGAGCAAACACTATTTTGTAGGTCATAGGAGTGATCATGACCAATCAACAAACCGTACAGATCCGGACCAACAACGGAAAATAACATTCTTGTTTAGATTTCCGTACCGTCTCTTTTATGTTGACGAGTCACTCCCATGACCTACAAAATGGTGTTTGCATGCTCAGGTGGGACATTTTGAATGATTGCACACTGAGGATTCTAATGACTAAATATAGTAGGTGTTGGTAATAAGAGCAGATTTGGATCAATAAATAAATTATCCATATATCGATATATGTGAGGTATGTGTGTATCATAGTATTTTTGTTGTCAGCACCTAAAACTCTCCGATAACAAATAGTGTCAGAGAATTCCATGTGTTTTCATGAGCAGTGCATTCTGACCCCACACGTGACACTGATCTGTCAAAATGTCCAAGTCTGGTGTCAGGGCCAGAGGAAACTCTGACTTATCTCGGAGCTAAAAAGTATTCTCGTATATTACGTTCCTCAAAAGAATTAAATTTAAAACATTTGTAATTTTTGTATGTATAAAACCATGATGTAGCAGAACTGGACCGAGTCAATTGTCAAGAGTTTGGAAAGTCAGAGGTTTAAACCCCGTTCTTGTCGTGCAATTTTCTTCTCCTGTTACATTTGGTGCCTGTGACCAACCCTTGTTTCCAAGTACTGGGTGAATATATATACTTGACAAGGGGGTATCCAAACCTGGGTGTCTTTGGGGGCAACAATTTAGAAAGAGGGAGGAGTGAAGCGGAATTGGACTAAGTCGATCATCGCCGACCAAATAGCTCAATATTGTAGAGCATTTCTCTAGAGTTCGGAGGGCCCGGGTTCGAATCACTGACCGTATATTTTTCCATCTAATCAGTTTCATACTTTTTTTCAGTTGAGTTGGCTTGTACTTTTGAAATACAACTATTCAGCTGTAAAATATCTAAAACAAATCTATGTTTTTATACAAAATTAATCTTAGTCAACAGGTCATTATCAGTAATCATAATGTCCGTGTTTCATATGTACTACTACTACTACACAACTCGTGTAGGAACCATGGCATGAACTTGGATGAAGCACGACATGATGAAACCATTTCTGTGGTTTCAGTGATTTGTCACGGTGACAACCAGATTGTTTTAGTAAGATAACTATAAACTTTTTCGGTAAAACTTGCATGCATTTGTAACTCAACTTATAAAGTGGAACTTTTTCTTCCATTACAAAATCACAATTGTTATTGCTGAACATTTCTCACCATTAAGCACGATTTATAAGGGTACCCTATTCCTTTAAGCTTCCACTCGCGCTAAACCTCCTTTTCAATATCTATACAATACCCGGATGTGTTTGTTTAAATATAGCAATACACAATATCGAGCGGAACGCAATGCGAAGTAACTAATAGATTATCGAACGGTAGCTGATTTCTGTCATTTCTCATTCTAAACCAAAAAGACGAGATTGAACATTGAAAATCTTTAAAATTAGTTTAGTGTACGACTGTACGCATACTCGTCGCCGTGTGACGATGTTTTCTTTATTCGGTGATGAATATACAGGTTCGTTCTTCACCTTCCGGCACGTAATTATATCTTGATTCAAGAGAAAGATATTTTTTTGAACTTTTAACATGATATTTATGACTTAAAGAAAAACATATTTTTTAGGGCGAAACAACCTGGGGCGAACGGGATTTGGGGCGAAACAACCCTTAGGGCGAACGGGATTTGGGGCGAAACAACCCGTTACCGCTGAATGCTGCAGACTGGAGAATATTAGACTCAGAAGCAAAAGAAAACTCATCGAGATCCCTGGATTGACAAAACAGCATCTACTGGAAGACCCTGAGAGCTTCACTCAACTTATCCTCGACTGTTCTCGCCATCTCACTGATCAACAGATGCATCATAAACGCAGAGAAGAAATAGGCCTAGTCCGCAGGATCGAACTCTGCTCCAGGGGGTATCACATCTGAAGAGAATCCGTTACCTATCTGCACTCAATCTCTGAGCAATCAATGATGTTCCCCCTTTCCCATTGACATTAGTATATCCAGATTACCACTACTCATGAATGGACTGAGTTTCATAATGGGCTGATGATAGGGACACATGTAAATACGTCCATTTGTAGTTATATAGCCCCAGTGTGAATTCCCTGTGCTACAGTGTTTTATATTCTCAAGGACCTCGCCAATCCAACTAACACACCAAGGACCTACTTGGGTGCTCCGCCAAATAATCGGAGGAATCTGAAGACTGAACTGAACTATGACTTCCGTAATCGTCAATATCGACGGAGGAAGGCATAAAGATGAAGATGAAGATATACGTCTCTGATTCAACTATCGTCATATTAAAAACAGTTCTACCGTAAACCAGAGACGTATATATATACGTCTCTGCGTAAACAAAACATGCACAATCAATTCTATTAAATAATAATGATAAATAATAATGCTTATTCAAGTAAAAGACATTACAAATTCACAAGTGGTCAAATATACAAACAAACATAAGACAAATACAATTTTACATACTAGAGTGCGTCCGTGTATGTTCGTACACCTTTGGACAAGATCGCTAATCACATCGCTTCTATGCACCTTTCCGTAAGAACCAAAGGACTTCTGAAGAGCTCTAATGTTCGGGTTAATTTTCACTCTCTGGCTTCATTCATCAGTTTATGCTATATGTATGTTTATACCATTTTAAGAATAAAAGTTGGAGGCGGGTAAATCCATACAGAACCGTGTAAGTTCGTACACCTTTTCCGGAAAGTTCTTACACCTTTTCCGGAAAGTTCGTACACCACATTAAAGCATCGTTATTTCTGTTACATCAGACGATATAAACTCGTTATCTTGATAATAAATGTATGTTTTGAAAGTTAACGATAATTGATACAATCAGAGTGATCTAGACTCGTCTCGTTAATAACAATAAAAAGGTAAACTATCGATCACTGAGTAGGCCTAATCGTTGATTTTTTTATTACGATACTCGATACTCGTTGGATATCTGGCTCATTTGTTATGCCCTGATAGAAGCTACGGGGCCAACGACAGGAGTCGTATACAGTGAAAGTAAGCCAGGAAAATTGTTGTTGTTAATTTCTCGAATAAGTGTAAGAAAGGATATAGACTAGTCGCTTAGTATATTTCTTATCCGAGGCTGTGCCCATTAGTCGAAATGTGTTGACCCTGTTACATAAAGTGTACATTGTTTACGTGTAGTTGTCCGACTAAACAAAATTGAAATGTTTATTGAAGTTCCACTTACGAATTTGTGCACACACTTTCGAGAACCGCTGTAATGCTATAGCTTGATTTGCAGACTGGTTCTTCTCTTTCAATTTAAGACCATGTATGCTCAAATCCACCAAATACCGCCGATGTTACAGCAGTTAGAAACTAAAAAATATATGTGTTTTCGCCATGGACGAGTTCATTAATTTCTATTTTAAGTGTATTAGTATTTTTTCTCAGTCACGACAGGTGCCTATATAGCTAGGTCTGTGACAAAGACATTTATTATAGGTTGCGGGTCTCTTTAGGAAGTTGGAGCAGTTTGAAAGTACATGTATAACCAGTAATGTTTCAGAAAGGTTAAAACTACAAACGTATCTTGACTGCATAGCATAGTAGACAAGCTTCCAGTTTTACAACCGAGAGTTCACCATATTCTAGAAAGAAAGAAGAAACCAAAAATATATTAAATCTATGTTATTTTATTTTAGTATTTGATAGATTAATATAAATATACTATATAATAATAATACATGTTCTATTGTTAGAGAAAGTTAAAGTTGAAATACTAAAATAGCAAAGTTCTAAAATGGGAATTGTTGTGGAACGCGTACGAGTTGGGATTGTATATATCTATACTATGGGACTAGTCCCTCTCCCCCTCTCAAATCTTCCAAATTTAATAAGTATTAGGTAACATTAAGAAGTCATTATATTATGATTATATTATAATATCATACAGACATTATGTAAGAGCCAGCTTTTCAATGTGTAACTGTCTAAAATAATGAAAATTAGGCGTTTAGACATTGTGTACGATTTGTAGTATAGATCTGCATTGCCTGTACGAACAGTTATCGCCAAACTCGGCTCTAGTTGTTCAGTTGTTCCAGGTATTTTCATTATAGCAATGTACTTACGGTGTGTGTCAGATTTCCTGACTGCTGAAAAACTCTCCGGAACATGCAAGTTTGTTTTTCCGGCGCCAAGTACTTCCATCCAATCAAATTATAGGATGTATCCATATCAACAAGGTGTCTAAATATAGTACACAGAGTAGCTCGATATTTAACACAGAAAACAACTCCAACATATTTATATACGCCTTTAATTTAACATGTACGAACATATCTAGATTATATCACAGTAGTAGTTACAATTAAGTCGATATGTTTGTTTTGAACTTGTTTGTCAATTAACAGTGATAGATTTGATAAATTATCTAAATCTCACTCAAAACTACTTGATAGCTGTATGCATGTATAAAACATTTATACTTGTTTAAAACATTTCAACTCTTGAGATATCCTCAAGTCTAATATTTCCAATAGACAATACATTGCTTGAGACTTCCTCAAGTCTAATATTTCCCATAGACAATACATTGCTTTAGACTTCCTTAAGTCTAATATTTCCCATAGAAAATGCATTGCTTTAGACTTCCTCAGGTCTAAGATTTCCCATAGACAATACATTGCTTGAAATTTCCTCAAGTCTAAGATTTCCCATAGACAATGCATTGCTTGAGATTTCCTCAAGTCTAAGATTTCCTATAGACAATGCATTGCTTGAGATTTCACCCAGTCTAAGATTTCCAATAGACAATACATTGCTTGAGACTTCCTCAGGTCTAATATTTCCCATAGACGATGCATTGCTTGAGACTTCATCAAGCCTAAGATTTCCCATAGATAATACATTGCTTGAGACTTCCTCAAGTCTAAGATTTCCAATAGACAATACATTGCTTGAGATTTCCTCAAGTCTAAGATTTTCCATAGACAATGCATTTCTTGAGATTTCCTCAAGTCTAAGATTTCCAATAGACAATACATTGCTTGAAATTTCCTCAAGTCTAAGATTTCCCATAGACAATACATTGCTTGATATTTCCTCAAGTCTAAGATTTCCAATAGACAATACATTGCTTGAAATTTCCTCGAGTCTAAGATTTTCCATAGACAATGCATTGCTTGAGATTTCCTCAAGTCTAAGATTTACAATAGACAATACATTGCTTGAAATTTCCTCAAGTCTAAGTTTTTCCATAGACAATGCATTGCTTGAGATTTCCTCAAGTCTAATATTTCCTATAGACAATACATTGCTTTAGACTTCCTCAAGTCTAATATTTCCATAGAAAATGCATTGCTTTAGACTTCCTCAAGTCTAAGATTTCCCATAGACAATGCATTGCTTGAGATTTCATCAAGTCTAAGATTTCCTATAGACAATGCATTGCTTGAGATTTCACCCAGTCTAAGATTTCCAATAGACAATACATTGCTTGAGATTTCATCAAGTCTAAGATTTCCTATAGACAATGCATTGCTTGAGATTTCACCCAGTCTAAGATTTCCAATAGACAATACATTGCTTGAGATTTCATCAAGTCTAAGATTTCCTATAGACAATGCATTGCTTGAGATTTCACCCAGTCTAAGATTTCCAATAGACAATACATTGCTTGAAATTTCCTCGAGTCTAAGATTTTCCATAGACAATGCATTGCTTGAGATTTCCTCAAGTCTAAGATTTACAATAGACAATACATTGCTTGAAATTTCCTCAAGTCTAAGATTTCCCATAGACAATGCATTGCTTGAGATTTCCTCAAGTCTAAGATTTCCTATAGACAATGCATTGCTTGAGATTTCACCCAGTCTAAGATTTCCAATAGACAATACATTGCTTGAGATTTCCTCAAGTCTAAGATTTCCAATAGACAATACATTGCTTGAAATTTCCTCAAGTCTAAGATTTTCCATAGACAATGCATTGCTTGAGATTTCCTCAAGTCTAAGATTTCCTATAGACAATGCATTGCTTGAGATTTCACCCAGTCTAAGATTTCCAATAGACAATACATTGCTTGAAATTTCCTCGAGTCTAAGATTTTCCATAGACAATGCATTGCTTGAGATTTCCTCAAGTCTAAGATTTTCCATAGACAATGCATTTCTTGAGATTTCCTCAAGTCTAAGATTTCCAATAGACAATACATTGCTTGAGACTTCATCAAGTCTAAGATTTCCAATAGACGATGCATTGCTTGAGACTTCCTCAAGTCTAATATTTCCCATAGA